TTCATATTCAATCGGTGTTGTTGATGTGGATCCACGTATGTCTCATCGTAGGAATAAATCCGTAGGTAGACGCAGACAAAATAAACTGCTACGAGACATAGAAATATTTTATTTGCGAAATTTTCAGCAACTCCTGTTACCTTCGTCAGCGCATGAGTATCAATGAGAAACTTAACAGAATACATAAGAATATACAATGGGTGATTAATCACCAGATCTATAAACAATAGGTTTACACAGTCTTATCACTAGCAATAGTTTATAAGGAGGCCTTAAGTCTGACATAAGCAAATTGGCATAAATAGCTGGTCAGAGTGGCAAAACTAATGAATGGTAAACAAGGAAATAGAGGCCTATAAACAACAAAAATATGATGATGATAATAATATAATAATGTCAAATTAAATGTCAAGTGGACACAAAACTATCAAAAAAGGCATGAAGAAATATATAATATATGATATAAAAATAAAAATGATGAATAAGGGAAAATAAAACGAATAAATAAAGTGAGTATTAAAAAAAAAACTGTGAAATAGAAGAGATAAAAAGACTAGATGGATGAAAATATATCGGATGGACAAAAATATATATTTATTTATTAGCGAAAGTGAAGTCAGATATGAATCCAAGGTCTTTATTAGCACCTGACTTATGTGTTTTAAGTTTAAGTATCCATCTAATAATACATGTATAATAATATATTATATTTCAGTCATGCAGTGCGGATTTGCATTTCTCTTGAAGCTGGGTCGGTAAGAAGTAAAAACACCAACAAATATATTGATCAAGAACTTCTAAGATGTCTGTAAAGTATTTTGAAATTAGAAGCCCAATGCCTAACCATGTGCGGCATACCTCTTACACGTCATGTTCTGCACTCTATGTAAAATATATACAGCATTTAATTATTAATTTCATTCGATTAGTAGGAACTATAGTAAGCATCCAGTTAGCTATCAGATTGTAAACCAAATATATCATTTTATATATTGCATTTCAAACGACGCATGTAAACAATTAAAGCTACCGGCATAAATCTATTCATATTGAACATTTTTTTTTCAGGTATTGGCTACGCATTCGCCTTTGGTCCTGGTAACGGGTTTACGGATTGGTTCTTCATGAACAACATGCCGAGTAAAGAAATTGATGATTGGTTCTTCCAATTCGTCTTCGCTGCTACAGCGGCTACTATCGCCTCAGGATCATAGGCGTAGATCCCGGGGGGATGGGGGATATATCCCCCTAATATTTGATAAGAGGGGATGGTCCATTGTATCACCCCCCCCCCCAATATTTTGACTATGTATGGGATAAAATGAAGCTTTACACACTTCAAAAGACTGTCACACAAATAATTTGCACTGTCTTATGCGCTTACAAAGATGAAAATTAGCATAATGTATTAATGTTGATAACAAAATTATTTTATCTGGTACCAATCTAAGCTCTTCTTTCCTTAGATGTTAGATGTGCTGTTATGTCAATTCCAAGAATGTTTAAGGTTATATCGGTTGATGAGGAATTTATTGATTAGGCCTATAATAGCAAATTGCATCAATTTATTTTGCAAAAACAAGGTTTCCAGCTTCAGAGGTATTTTGCAAAAACGGCACATCCCCTGTCCGCACAAGGGCACACATTGGCGCTAACACCAGGCGCGTAACAGGGGTCTTGGGTCAGAGTGGGTATTTATTTTCCCAGTTTGTAATTAACCATACACACCCCACCCCACTCCCCATATAGAAAACAATACGACATGACTTATCTTATTTATAGTAAAGGCCACACACGTGTGTTTGAAACTAAATATAAGCATTTTCATCATGGTTTTATTTATTACAAACATATTCTTTCACCATCAATACACATTGAGGTTCTTTTAGGTTAAAACGATCTATCTTAAATTTGTCTTTCTTGAGTTTGGGACTATTATGTGTTTAAATAACTTAAAAAGATAAACCAAAAAAGCCCTAAAAAATATTTTTATATTTTTAATTCTAATTTCGTCGGAATTGACGAAAACTCCCTAAAATGTGCAATTTATAGAGAAAAGTGGCCTACCTTAACAAGAAATGCGCGCAAAGAATTTGAGAATTTTAGGCACTTTCAGAGGGTGCATTTGTCAAGGGGTGGGGAAAGATTTTCCAAAGATGGATATTTTCCCCTTGTCCCCCGGTCTTTTTAATTCTAATTTCGTTGGAATTGATCAAAACTCCCTAAAATGTGCAATTTTTTAGAGGAAATTGGCCCATGCTGACAAGAAATGCGCGCGAAGCGCGAGATATTTGAGGTTTTTAGGCACTTTCAGGGGATGAAAAGGGCATTTATAAAGGGGTGGGGAAGATTTTCCCCTTGTCCCCCAGTGGTTACGCCATCGGGCAGCATAGATCAAAGGAGTTATGACAGTTTTTGAAGTGGAGAAGGAGTTGTATCTGTCTCTTATACACATCTAGATGTGTATAAGAGACAGGTGGGGGGGGGGGTGAGGGTGAACTGTACAAACTTAACATAGGATTCTGACATGGGACAGCTGACTCTCAATGAGTTATAGTAAAATTTTGCTTAAGCTGCCCCTGACCATAATTTTTGTTGTACTGTACACTTTGTAAATGTGTATTGGTCGAATAAATAAATGAAAATGAAATGAAGAGGTGATTGCGTGTATACTGTAGTACGGTACTATATCTAATCTATAATTTAAATGAGATTGCGCAGAGCAACAGCCAATCAAATTCTTGGGTGGCTCGGTATAATATTTAACGTGAATATAAGGGCTACGAGGTCACAAAATTAATTATGACGTCACATAATGGGATATAATTTAATTAATGAATAGCATTTAAAAGCAATTTCGTGATGACTTAAATCGTAGTTATAAGTTTTGTATTTCTAGTTTTGTGTTCCCGTAGGTTTCATTTATCCGATTGCTACACATTGGTCGTGGTCTGATGAAGGCTGGCTGACAGAAATGCCAAATAACGAACATATCAGATTTTTGTATGAAGCAAAGCACAATATCAGTTAGGCCTACTCATTCCCCGTTGTTGCATCAGTTCTTACAAACACACTAAAAAACTGTGCCTTTCATAGGGCTAATGCATTAATATCAATAGACAATAATGTTCAAGTGCTACAGTAATTAAAGGTTAAACTAAATATGAAATGAAACAATGCAGATCTCTAATAATAATAGTATTAATGCTTGCAGTACACTACGTAGACAGTGGCGGCGCCAGGATTTCCCCGACGGAGGTCCAAGGTTCCCGACGGGGGAGCTGAATAATGTCCCGACGAGAAAAAAGTGGGCGTGGTCGGGCGTAGCTAAAAACTTTCGAAAGTGGTGCAAGGGACGTAGCCCTCGAAAATGGGAGGGAAAGGCCTCCCATGTGGTCTGCTAGTAG